TGCAGGTGGCCCGGGGAATTCCCGCACAGCCGCTGTCCCCGGGGGCTTGCCCGGCAGATGCCGACATGTGACATACAGAGAGACATACACACACAGACATGCACACGTACAGCTTTCGCTGTCGACGAGCTCCGGAGTGGCGACCCGCCCGACTCCCTGTCCGACTACTACCGACTGCTTAAAGCTGAAATCGAATCGGATGCCGGCCCTGGATGAGACTCCTCCCAAAATTGCGCCGATCCGAGGTTTCCGATCTACCGAGCGGAGAAGAAATCCATCATGCTGCTGCTGCTGCGGCTACTGCTTGGTGCGCCACGCGGCGCCATGTTGTAATGTTGTAGAGTTGGAGATGTTGCTCCAGAGGATGCTTTGGTAGCTGGAGATCCATACTTCGGATGGCAAGGGAGTGGAGTTGTTCGGTTTCGAAGGGTTGGTTTCGGAGGTGCTGGGTTTGGGCGTCGCGTGGTAGGGGAGGGGGATGTGGCAGCGCCCGCCGGCTGTGTGCATTGCAAGGTGGAGGTCACGAGGGGGGTCACGAGGGCCAGAAACCAGCGAGGAGTTGCATGGGCTGCGGACGGGCTGGGTTCGTCCGGAAGGTAAGGGCGCGGCACGGCACGGACCAAGTGCATGTTGGTGGTTGCTGCAGGTGATGACGACGGAGCAAACAGCGTGTTGTTGGTTGGCTGACAGGGGCTGGATGGGCATCCGCGAGCGACCCGGTTCCCTTGGTAGGACAACTGGGAGCTTCGGCAACGGTGAAATACCACTACTTTTAACGTTCTTTTACTTATTCCATTACTTGGAGGCGGGACTCTGTCTCTGTTTCTGGCTCTAAGGCGGCTTTACGTGACACCTTTGCGTGAATAAAATTTGCCGTACATGGGGGAAGTTGCCGTACATTATCATGCACAGGGACAAACGGAACGTACCGTCGGTTTTTGATATGTGCTGTCCCCGTGATATGATGTAATACCCAGACGTGCACGAGGACACGTGCACGAGCGCGCGCAACACAGATCACGACAACTTCACAGTACAAAATATCTAATACTGAAGTGATGGAGATTGAAGACCCATTCTTGTCCGTCTTCGATGGGAAAGTTAACTATAATTCCCGGCTTCATGCGATAACACTCGTCTCGACAGAGCACACAGCCCCGGCAGTGAAAAATACGAGGAGAGCAGTTACATGAGTGCCGTGGGGCGCATCCTTAGGCAACACCGCCGGGTCCTTGCGATCCGCGCATTTGCAAGAGGCACGCTTAGACCCATCAACGCGTCTCTTGCTCGTCCTGAGGGCTACGTACCCCACGCAATTGGCATCGAATGATGCGGCACGTGGTAGGAGGATAGCGACTGTGGGCTTGTGGAATCTGATCTAATGGAAGGCCATGCCCCCTTGCTTTTGTTGGGATGCACCTTGCCGCTCTCAACTCTCACGCCTTCAAGTAAGGTCCAAGCGGCGCGAGCTCTATTTAACAAGTTACAAGTTCCGCACGACTGCGGGGGTGTCCGTCTAAGCCCGGGGGCCATGGACTATATATATTGAAACTAATCTGCGAAGCTTTATTTAACGAACCAAGGGTGCTCAGATTACATGTGGCAACAAATACATACCTAGGCAGCAGTGCCTGACTGTTCGGCTTTGACACTCTTGTGTCTTGCACCTACCGTACATAGTATGGCTTAACTGTAATCCACAGTGATATTGCTTAAGACATATCGTCTGAGCTAAACGTTTAATGATGAAAAAATATAAATAGTTACGATGGGGGGGATATGAGGATCCCCAGGCTAAGCTATAGCTATTTGGAACATTATGTAAATTAAGCGGGCCTTTGTTGCATGCCCCATGGGTCAACAATGCCAGAGCAAGGGACACAATGTAACACACATGGCGACCTGAAATGGATAGCCTAAGATGGCTTTCATGCTAAAATTTATCTATGAAAGATTAAATCAACTGCCTCAAGGAGGATCTTGTCGACGGTCGTAGCTGCCGTACCCAGCAAAAATCAACTATTCCAGAAGGAAAGAGATATAACTTTTTGGTTTATTCCTCACGAAGGTTGCACAACGCTGTAGCTATCTGCCTGCTGAGATATTAGCGTAGGTTATTTTGATTATCAGTTCTGCGTCTCGATTGACAGACGGACTTCCTGCAAAATGCCCACAGCGGCAATAACAGTAAAGGGCCTTGGCCATCGCGTATCTAACGGTCCGTCTCGTTTGCGTGTAACGACACGACCTTTGCCCCGGCAGGCGCTAATACTCAGCGCAAGCAAGGTGCGGCAGTTGTCTTCATCCATGAAATGCTGTTTGTCTGAAGTATCTAAGCTGGTGCTCTTTAGAACATCGTGGGTTGTCCGCGTGTCTAATACAGACGAAAGGCCGTGCTTCGCATTCATGTTTTCCCGTCAGGATGGGACCTGCATATGTCTGGAGCCTTCATCTGCTACCCAGCTGCGGCAGAATGCTGGCGCATGGCTAAAGGTTCGTACAAGGACCTTGACGGGAGAATGGGCAGCATCTTTGACTGAATAAGGGCATTCCGCAGGTGCCTGTAATGCTAGGCGACGCTATTCGCCCGTGCCTCAACTAAACACAAGTGAACATACACATACAGCTCAGCATGACTTGAGCAGATGCGCTTAGCTTCCTATGATGATGGGCCAAGCGGGCTCCGCCAGCACGTGCCTGTTAACTCTCAGTCGCTGACCGTCGTGTGTCCCTTTCTGCAGACTGGTCTCATGGCGGGAGCGTGCTTCTTCGTTGCCTTCGGGAGCGGGGCTGCTCACGCGGCGAAACGGGCTCCTCCCCATGCGGTGAGTACCCGCAGCCAAGGCCCCTAGCGATGGCTACTCAGGACTGGCCATCGCTAAGGTGTATTGCTTCGAACTCTCCGCTGACAGAATCAGTTTAGTATTAGTATCAGCCAGCTAGGCGACCAAATTGACGCCCGCGAATTCTTCATGTCGTCTCTGCAGCCTGAAATAGCGACGGTCGCAGAGGTGGAGCAGCAGGCACCCGCCAACATCTCAACGGGAAGTGGCAGCGCACAGATCGCCGTGGACTGGCAGCGGCTGGCGAAGGACGTCCAGGCTTCACCGGTGGGTGGGGTGTGTGGCTGGCTGCGTAGCACAGGATTTGCTAGAGGACTTCTGATAATTATGCGGCGGTTCGAGCAGGGAAACTGGCCTCTGTAATGCATGAGGAGGTCGGGGAAATTTTTCCCCAATTTTTTTAACATTCTTAATCATATATAAATCACAATAAAAATAAAATATATTTTTACCCAGTTCTTGGTAAAGAAAAAAATTATTATGAAGTCATAATAAAAAAGTCATCGGGTTACTCGCTTGGGCCGTACCATAACCCTCGTGCCATGTGCCTTATGTCTATAATTCCATTACAATTTAAAGCTAATCCAAATTAATAAAGAACGAACTTCTTGCTGTTCTGTTGTTGTGGCAATAGAAATGTCCAGCTGCAGTAGCAAAAATGGCAACCAATAAAAAAGACTAGTTTGGTTTTCTGGTATGCCGTAGTGATTGAACACCAATTCAAATGTAAATTCCCACAACTTTTAAGAATGGTAGCCTACTACTAAGTTAGTATTCGGAGGCTTCCAAATAGTTCCGGCCATAAGAAGCCTACGGCTTAATCCAGCAGTTGCAGTTCGTCCATCTGGGTCGCGTGAATACTGTTGATCTTGTTGAGGCGGACAGCACCAGGTTCATAACACGTGTCATGCCGCCCAGCCCTGCCCTCATCCTCCTGGTGCCAAACGCAACTTAATAAATTGAAAGTGTATTCGGCTCGTCTTTCATGCAACGCTTGACCCGGCTAATTTACTATTGGTTACCGCCCCGTAGTACACAATCCCGGTGGTAGCCGTGGTGTTCCTTGTCGCGGGCGTGAGCCTCCTGAGAGGTGGCAGTAAGAAGGAAGAAGCTGCACCGTCAACGGCGACTAGCAGCTCTGGCAGCGCAAGCGCTGTGGTTTCATCCACAACGCCACCGACAGAGGAGGCGCCACAACCGCCGTCACCAGTTTTGGCAGCGACTCCCGAGCCGGTTCCGGAGCTGACTCCTGAAGTGGCTGCAGAGCCTGTACCGGAGCCGGAGCCGCCGGCTCCCGCAGCTCCCGCTCCGGCTTCACCGGTTGTGGTGACGGCACGGCCCATGATGGTGTTGGCAAATCCCAATATGGCGCCCCAACCGGTAAGGCCGCCATCACAGCCGTCCACAGCCATCACAGCAGCAGCAGCGCCGGCGGATCCACAGCCCTCCCCTGCGGTGGTTTCCAGCCCCCCGGCCCCTGCACCGCCAACTGTTTCTCCAATTGCTGCGGCTCCGGAACCAGCCCCTGTGCCGGCGGCGGAAGCCTCGGCCCCTCCATCCGACGCTGCTCCAGTGGATACCCAACCCCCCAAGCCTGAGCCGGTGAAACCGACTGCTTCCGAGGTTGTGGTGGCCGAATCTGTACCAGCAGCCGAACCTGCACCCGCGGAGCCTGCTCCGGAACCCGTCGTTGACAGCCGGCCCTCAGCTAAGGAGTGGATTGCGCAGTGGCGTGTTTCTCAGCCCCCGAAGCCGGAGCCAGTCGCTGCCGTGCCCGCCTCTGCAGCAGCGGTGGTGCTGCCTGAGCTGCCTGCTTCAGAGCCGGTGGTGCCAGTACCGGAACCGATGGTGGATAGCCGTCCGTCGGCAAAGGAGTGGATTGCGCAGTGGCGCGAATCACAGCCGCAAAAGCAGCATGATGCTGTTCCGGTGACTGCAATTCTTGAAGAGATGCCGTCGCTTGCAGCAGCGACACCCGCGCCTCAGCCGGCTTCGGAGCCAGCCCTCGCTGCCCCTACTGTTGCTGCGGTTCCGGAGCCAGTCGCCGCTGCCCCTACTGTTGCTGCGGTTCCGGAGCAAGTCGCCGCTGCCCCTACTGTTGCTGCGGTTCCGGAGCCAGTCGCCGCTGCCCCTACTATTGCTGCGGTTCCGGAGCCAGTCGCCGCTGCCCCTACTGTTGCTGCGGTTCCGGAGCAAGTCGCCGCTGCCCCTACTGTTGCTGCGGTTCCGGAGCAAGTCGCTGCCGCTTCCACCGTTGCACCGGACCCAGCGACGGGCGCTCCGGCACCAGCTTTCACCCGGGAGCGGAAGATGAGCGCCGCAGAGCTACTGAAGCTGTCGGGCGTGCAGCCTGAAGTGCTGAGCTCCGTGGCAAAGAGCACGGCCGTCGTCAACAGCAATGGGTACGTGATGTTCAAATTTGTTGAAGGCGACGAAGCCGTGACAGCGCAGCCAGTTAGCGTGTTGCAACCTCCGGCCGTGGTGCCATCGGCGCCAGCGGCGGCGGCCGCTGCAGGCCGCAGCGGCTTCGACAGCTCCATCAGCAACGATGACGTCGGCGAGCCCCCGGCGCCGCCACCACCGGCCCCGTCGAAATCCGTCGTGGCAACGGTTGCAGCGGCACGCGTTGTGCAGGGACCGCCGCCGCCGTCGGTTTCGGCGCCTGCGCCAGCTCCGTCCAGCGGCAACGCGGCTAAACTGGCGCCGGTGGCGTCTGCCACCGGTGGCAACGGCGCAGCGGCCGCGTCCAACAGTCGTCGTAGTTCTGTCTCGGCCTCGGCGTCCGCCAGCAGCGGTGCGAGCAAGGAGTCCCTGGCAGCCGCGGCTCGTGACCCCATCGTGATGACTGCAGCTGTGGTTGTGGGCGCGGCTCGTCAAATGAAAGGCTTTGGAACTTTCGTTTCGGATGGGCTGTTCCCCGCAGTGGGGGCGCTGCTAGGTGGCGGCAACAACAACAATGGCAAACGAAACGGGCAGTAATGCGGATGAGGTGCCATGTCCCATGTGTCGAGGCGCTTACGGATGCAGCTGGAAAGAGGTAGAGTACCTCGGGAAGGTGCCCTGTCCGGTGGCGTGTCAGGGCAAGGGGAAGAGGAAGAAAGGAGGCCAGAGACTCGGAAAGAAGTAGAAGGTAGAGGCCAGGTAAGCCGGATGAGGCCACGGCACGAGCGCCCGGAAGTCGGGGGCTGTTAGCTTGCATCCAGGAGGGTTACCCAGGACGGTCATCCAGGAGGCATGATCAGGGTGAACAGCGATTTCCTGCGTTCTGGATTGGACCCAGAGGCTAGATAAGTGGTGCAGACCGCACCTATCTTTTTTGAAGCCACGGGCTAAGTATACTGGTAAGGAGTAACGGAGGAGGCGATGCATGCTGGTGGAGCATCTGCGGCAGTGGTGGCACACGCGCGCGCAGTCGCGGCATGCTGGAATTTGGTGCGGCTGTCTTTTTTCTGGTTGGGGAAAAGGTCCCTTGATCGTTTTGTAGATTGTAGCAGTGGTGCTTTTGCTTTTGCGGCTCTCTGTCGGGTCCAGCTGCTGCAGGCTGAGTATGAATTGCATAAAGATGTGTGCGCCTCTCTTTTCCTACCTTATCATACATCTGTTTTTTCTTTCCAGAGGCACCGACATATTTTGGCACATATATATGTATATTATATTGCCGAGCGATGCAGCAGCGGCGGGTGGGTGCCCTGCCATGCACCAACGAACCTTTTACCCCCCCGTGCGTGTGTGAGGCTCGCTGCCACGGAGACTGGCGCTCTATTTATAGCCTCTGCCTCTTGTGTGGCGATGAGCCTCGCTTTTGGTTTAGTGGATGCCACTACAGTGCAAGGATGAACAAGTCCTGGCCGTAGTTGGCGGATAGAGCGGTATAAAAGCGCTATACATGATCTGTGACGCGAACAGCGAGACCTGACCCGGTCTTATTAGAGCTGGTGTGGCTCGACCTTGAGCTTTAGCGCACTGCCTTCGAGGGGACTGCATTACCATCCAAGGCCCTTCATCAACATGTCGTGTCATCGGGGTCGTCTCATTTCAGAGGATTGTGGCCCAGGAGCAATACATCACCGCTCCACCCGCTATTTGCCGCACAAGGAGATGATAAATGATGGGAATCATGGCCACGGGTTGCAATTATGTTGTGGCAGAAATGGACTGGGATGTAATGGTGGTAGTTGGCCTGCAGTCTTGGAAACCTATGGGGTGGCACTGTTATCTGAGTATAAGGCCTGGGTATATGTGTGTGTGTGTGTCTGGTCTGTGTGTTTCAGGTAACTGTCGGGTCCGATCGGTAACGGTACTTGTCGTGATTTGCAGATGACGCAAGTCGCGATGAGCCGCAACATAAGGGGAGGGCAATGCTTTCCTAAGGATGGCCCGTTCATCCCGCGCCGCGGTGGCGTTACGACGGAGATTGCGACGAACACTAAAGCCAGGAGTCACCGGTATGAAGCCCAGGCCGTGGTTCATTAGGTTGCGAACCTTCCACGCAAGTTTTAATGGCCATGCGCGCCCGAGACTTACATGAAATGCTGCGGCTTTGCACAGCTGCAGCAGCGGCGGCAGTAGGAAGAGCAACGCAAGGTCCTGTGAAACAGCAGAGACTTTGGTTTTTTTTAGGAACATGCACATAGCGGTGACGTGTGGACGTGGGGCTAATGGGACGAGGTGAGCTGTGATGGCACGCTGACAACTCCCACAGAATCGAAAGGAGAGGATAGGTTTCCTTCCTGTTTTTTTCTCGTATTGCGGCGAAGTATGAGTAGTGACTGGCTGACGGCGTGCATAACGCAGAGTGAGGGGGTATAAGGGACGTCGGCATGAGGGTGGAGGAAACCACAGGCTGGGCGCCCAAGCATCGCTGCCTGTAATTTGCGGTACTGGACTGACTGAGCTCGTGGATTGGGTAACATTGCGGAGGGAGGGTGAGGGTACGCTGAAAACTCGCCAAGAAGATGCGCGCGGTGTATCGTGTCGCGTGTTGTCTGGCACATGGCTGTGGAGCTGTGTGGCACGGATGCATGCACACTTGAATTTGACTTCGCAAGAGTTCACGTAGTAGTAGTTCACGAGACGTATCCAACAGTGGTTTAACTGCTGTTGGATGTGTTTTATCTGAAATGGATACAGAAATGGCGTGTGATGAAGTTGCAACGGGGTGGTCCTCGATGGCATAAGAGATGACGCACACGAGCGGCACTGTTTCCTTAAGAGCTCTTCCGTTTCACCCGCTGGATATCCCAACCATGATCTCCATCTGGGTCACCTCCATCTGGACTGCAGGCGGAATCTAACCACCACGTGATCCACGCTATCGCTCTTAAGTCACAAGCGACTTGAGCACACAACTCAAAAAGGATTCTCATCCAAGTACCACCAGCTGCCGCACGATAAAATTGTCGGGGTATGGGTAACATGCTGGGCAGGCTCGGCTCCGAGACAAAGACCAAGTGAACAGAATACTCACTGTTAAGTTTTTTTAAGTAGTTCCCAACCAACCATTGGCGGTTGGGTGGATATACGTGGAATGAACCATGTCCAATACGGACCTCTATGCAGAACAAATGTCAAAAATAAGAACATGGAAGACCAGGAAGTTCATTTACTGCCCAAAGGGTTGAGATTGTTCATCATGTCGCAGACGTGACAACGAAACTCAACGAACTATGTTTTTGCAATGTGCATTGTATCAGACTCTTCTTTGCCAACGAAACCTTGCGCTACGAATAATTACGTGCGCAAAATGTGAACGCGAACAGACGGATATACATACTGACAGAGGTGCACATACCAAGACATGAAAAACTTTGGTCGACCATAAACGGATAAGCGAATCGCACATGCAGCAGTAAGGGTGGCGACCTCGACTGGTGTAATAGCGCACGTCATAAGAGGCTGATGAACGACAGGAGTACCGAAGTCTCCAACGGGCACCAGGCCTACACACAGAGCGAGACAGAGAGAGAGAGAGGCGCCCTAGCTCCCTTAGTGATATAGAGTGGGATGTTTAAGCGGGGGAAGGTACGCAAACACATGCAGTTGGAGTGCATGTGGCAGAGGTGTCCTCCTCTTACATCGCAAACATCGCAATCTAATGACTCTCCATTTCCTTCATCCAAAAGCGGCTGGTAGATCCCATTCGCTCCGCTGTCGTCTCCTCCTCCTCCTCCTCCTCTTCCTCCTCCTCCTCTTCCTCCTCTTCCTCGTCATCAGCCATCACGGGGCTGCTCCGCTGCCCGCTTTAGCCCCTCGTTGAACTCCACAAACCCCTTCTTCGTATCCGCCAGGACGGAACCCAACAGCGGGACAAGACAGCCCTTGAAATCCTCGCCTGCAGTAGCAGCAGTAACAGCAGCAGTAGCAGCAGTGCCCGGCATCACCTGTGGCACTTGGAGCACTGATGACCGCACAGCGATAAGATTATATATTATGAAGCTGTACATGGTGGTATTGGTGAGAGGGGAGAAACGGCTCGACAAAACACAAAATACGCAGACACCGGCTCTGGAACGCAAAAGCAATTCTGTCTGATGAATCCTCTACTTAGCAGGCTGCCCTAGGGCCCCCGGCCGGGCCGCATATACAACACCAACATAAGAGCATCACACCGAGCATCACACACACACACACACGCACACGCACACGAGGGCACATAAGGCCTCCAACCCAGACCGCGTCTCCGCGTACCTTCTCAAGTACTCCCCTTCCCCTCCCCCCGTCCCTCCACGACCCCTGTGTTTGTTTTTCGCACCATGAAGCAGCAACGTCCGGTCCGTCCCCACAGGTTGGAGGGTGAAGAAATGCTCCCCCACGAAAAATAGGTCAGATCCGAACAGCTTGCCTCGCCACCGAAGCTCCGTCCCGGGCTTGTAGGCGACGACCTGCACACGACGGAAATATGCGCCATGGCCCAAGTAGGGTTTAGTCTACCAGCCAGCAAATTCTGCCAGTCAGCCAGTCTGTCCGTCCGTCCGTCAGTCTGTCTGTCAAACTCGGTAAATTACATGAAACGGCCAGTGGCTTGGAGCTGCGTGCGCGTAGTGCTCGTCCAGTCCGTGGATTTATCCATACACACGGCTTCTCGGTATGAACGAGCAGCGAGTGACGAGGTGCCGGAAGGCTGGAGCGGAGGAGTTTGAATGCAGCATCGCTTGAGGATGCGTCTATGTTTGCAGCTGTTAATATTCTAAGGACTTTCCTAGAGCCATAGCCCGGGGATTAGCAGTAGTTGTTGCAGTGGAGCCGAACGGCTCGTGTACAACACCCTGACGGGCGCCAACCTGGGGAGCCATCACAGTGGGCTTGGCGTGGCCCGGAGGTTGGAAGGACACGCGCAGGGACTGGCCAGGAGCCGGCGTGTCCGGTGCGTTCTCGATTTTTAAAAATGAATTGAAAGAACTCCATTCTCGCAGATTGCCCATGATTTCCCATACTCTCTCCGCAGGCGCCTGCAAGACATATGCAGAAAGGTGGTAACTAGGAGCCGGAACCTGTTATACGATGACAGGTTAATAAAAAGGATTATCGTCACCGGTTGCCGCTAGGAGCGTTCTGACCAGGGTTCCGACATGGGCTCAATTTCCCGAGGATGACACCACGTAACAACATTTGGGACATGCACATACAATTAATAACAGAGCAACATCGATAATGCGCCTGAAATTCATGCCTTCTTGCGCATGTCCAGACGCGGTGAGCTGATGTGGAAGCCATCCACTTACATTTATCTCAACCTGGGTGCGCAGCGCCATCCTATTTATTTTTTAAGATTATTAGATGGAGGCACGGGAAGGCCCGTAGCGAGAGAGTGTCGCTCACGGGGGGGTGTTGGAAATGACCGACATTCATATACCAGTGAATGGTAGCCACAGTAATAGGACCCAACGGGGGTCCGGCGCTTTGCTGGTCTTAACAGATGGTCGTCTTATACAAAGGTGCCGTAATCGGGATCGATTACCTGCTCCTTTGAAATCATATTACCTGCACTATTCCATGCCGATCCTTCATGGCCAATAAACGGGTATCGCTATTAATACATTGACAGCATGGCTGGGCTGTCATCTTTTCCAGACGACGCCAAATTCGGGCGTAAACCCTAGCGGTTATGGCATTCCGGAACGTGAATGCGAAGCTGCCATCAGAGAAGCTGAAGCTAAGCCGGGCTGGCTTCAGGTACACCTTGCGCCTCCACAATCAAATGCAGCACATTTTATTAAAATTACAATTGGACATTTAAATGCAGGATGCGAGAATGGGAAGCGCCTGCCCAGGCGCTGCCCACGCACGTGCCCTCGGTGCCATATTATATGCAGTATACATATCGCTCCACATTAAGAACTGCTGACTTCATATCATACCTTTCATTTTCATTTGTTTTAACTGAGTTATCGCGATAAGTCACTAAACCCCAGGTTGCAGGACGGAAGCACTCGTGTGCGACCTTCTGTTGCTCCTCCTGTGAGCTTGTACTAACCCTGAGAACCTGCTAAGGGACCGCGGCCCTTGGAAGATGACCCACGGGTCAGCCAGTGAGCATCATCATGCGCACCACAGTATCTTCGATGCAAGTAGAGTGCATCCCTTAGTATCTACCTTTTTCTTCGCCAGCAGCGACAATAATAGTAAAGTTAACGGTGTTGTCCCCGGTGTATGTCAATTCCATCAACACTGTTCCATAACTAATGGCACAAAACTTTATCGTGTTGGGGGCGCGATGAGAGAGATGATGGATATATGATGGATAACCCGAGTGAAAAGGGCAGCAACGTGCTTTTTCCCAAATTTCAGCTGTCACTTGCCGCGAAAATTGACGTGTGTCCGCCGGCACGCCCTCACATGTCAATGGGGGATGAATGACGGGAGAGACGCTGCTTGGCCAGACTGGTCAGAAACCACAGAACCACAAACAGACGCGGGCGTGAGTTTTCCCCCTCAGCTCCCAGCCCGACTGGCGGCATGATGCACTACCCTCGAAATTGGGAACCGAAAAAAAAATAATTAAGGGAAAACAAACCAGATTTTCCCAAACCTCGGACAGGAACCTCCTCCTCTACATGGCGATAAGAGGTACTACTCGTGTGCGAGCATGGCCACAGTGACTGAGGCCACGTCGTCGATGGCGATCTAGATTATTACAACTAGTTATAGTGACGCCTGTTGGAATCGGAACGGATGCCCAGTTCGCATGTTTACGCGCGCCGCATCTTTTGGAACTCCAACGCCAGCTCGTAGAGCTCATAGATAGGCGGCAAGGTCCAGGACATCTCCATACGGCGTGTGAACTGGCTACAGCAGCAGTCGTCTATTTCCCTGCTGCTAAGGTGGTAATCCCCCTTATCATAAGAAGTATAAGGATCTTGAAATCGACGAGAGGGCGGTCTGCCATCGGCTGAGTGGCCACCGACTCGACTTGTGCGGGACGGGCCAGGGCCCTGCTCGCCGTGCTCCCAGGGATTCCGAGGGACGTTACTAATGCCGACTGGTCGAATCCAAAAACTCACTCGTCCATTTACTATCGTCGTCGACAATTCCGGCGTTTAAAATTTCATCGCCGATTATTTTTATTGTTGTTTTAATTACCACCGGCAACAGCAACCAGGAGATCTGCAGCCAATAGTTTTGTTGTTACATCGGCAACGGCCGTTTCTGTTTTCCTGTGGCGCCCGTTCCTTGCGAGCTCTGCTGTTCTGCCTGTGTCCAACCGCGAACCTGGGATCGGTGGAAAAAGTTAAGTGTTCGCGCACACGCTGCACAAGTAATCGCGACCTCTTGTACAAGGCAAGGGCTTCTGCGGCAGACGCGACCGGTGCGGCTTTTGCTGTCGCAACCGCAGCACCGACTGCAGCGGTTATTACCAGCACCAGCACAACAACCACCACAACCACCACAACCACCACAACGACAACTACGACAACCAGCGTTGCAGTTGCCTCCGCCGCGGCCGTAAGGACCGCCGCCACCGCTGCCGTATCTGCATCCGCCGCCGCTGCTACAGCCGCGACGACACCTACACCGCTACGGAGCCACCATGAGCATCAGCACTCGGCGGACGGAGCCTTGGCGCCATCCCCTGGAGCGCGAGGAGGAGAAGACGGCGGCAGGGGAGTCGGCCGGTGCGAGGCCTACGAGACCGCCGCCGGCGGGCCCCGGTGTTGGTGGTTCCGGAGCGGCTGGAACCAAGAAAAATAAGAAGACATCCGCGCTTGCTAAACTGAGAAGGTAAGACACTGCTGCTGCTGCTGGTGGTGTTGGTGATAATGATGATTATGATTATGATGATGATGATGTTGATGATGATGATGGCAGCGTGTGTATGGGCGGTCATATTGCACATGTTTCGGGCACTACGGCCTTTCTTAATGGGCCGTTGTGTTTGTATGGGATGTGTTGGCCGCTGGTTTCTGCGGGGTTGATAGCGGAGAGGGTGATGCGCCTTGTATGTATGTTGTTACAGGGTGGTTAACTTCGCCAGCGGCCCCCTTTCCCGGGGCAGTCCCTGCTCTCCCCTGCTAGAGGGGCACCCTAATCCGTCACCCCATCCGACTTCAGAATGTATTCGGTGGGTTCGGCAACTCACCACCAGCATCCAACCAAATCTAGCGGATCAACGGCGCATCAACTTAGTTCCTGGTCAGCTTGCAAGGTGTGTGGTTGTTATAGTGGGCCTTGTATGTGTGTGTGTATGTGCGTGTGTTACATGGTTTTTGGTGCGTGGCCCCATACCTGTAGGACTAAGTACCCAAACGAGCCGAAGGCCCAAGGGCAAGAGGTCTGAACGCCTAAAAGCCACAGGAAAAAGGAAATACCGCTCTATCAAGAGAAGAGGAAAAAACTAGCGCCCAAAGCGGATAACCGAGTTGTGATGAGCCCACATACGTTCCCACATCCTAGCCAGACAGGCTGGGTCGTCCCCCTTCTTCTTGTCCTTCATCCCATTTCTCAGCATGTGTTGGCCACATGACGGCTGCGGCTCCCGAAAAGGGCAGCCCCATCCCGAGCTCTTATACCTCGCCGTTTGCACTCCCGGTTGCTTCCCATCTGATGGTGGGTACTCCTCTGGCAAGATAGTCAGACGCGCCCAAGTGGTCCCAGCCGCTCAGCCACTCAGCCGCTCAGTATGTCAGTATGTCAGCCCGGGTTTGTGCGTAGGTTCTGGTGATGGTGATGGTCCTGGTGATGGTTCCTCCCGCTACGACCTCTTCGACACCTCGAACCGGACCTGATGTGGCCGGGGATACGTACATACGTACATACATACATACATATGTGGCGGGGGTGCACCTCATCCCCCTCGCATGTCTAGTGCGTCACGGCGTATGGTCCCAATACGTACGGTCCACGTATGTCGTACTCCGAATAATAAATAACAACCTCTTCGAAGAGAAGAATTGAATTCCGTAACAACCTCTTAAGTACACCACCCGATCGCACTCCACACAATGGATCGCAACCTCTTTCCGGCTTCAGGAAGGTGTTTGCGGTGCAACAGCTCTGGATCTGGCCCTTCACGCACTACAAGCCGACCAATCAGGTTATGGTGGGTGTGGTGTGTGGTGGGGGGGGAGGATGGAGGAAGCTCTGTCGTGTGCGAGTGAGGGTGAGGGTTGGGATGGATGGAGGGTACCTGCTGTTGTTGGCTGCTGAAATACGCCGCGACAATTCTCTTGTGTGAGTGCAAAGATGTGTGCAAAGATACCGGACATCCCCGCACGTGCGAGTGAAACTTGTAACTTGCAGCAAAGATTTCCCTTAGCTAAGAGGCCGCTCATTCTTAAAAAGTTATTGTAACTTACGCCTGCTGTCAATTTGCAGGCCCTCGTTGTTAGGTTTTTGTAAAACCTTGGTGTCGTGACAACAGGCCGCACGCACAGCTGCGTGCCGTGCCGTAACCCCCCACTCCGAGCCCAATTCCGCTGTGCGCCCGCTTTTCGCCAACTCGAGGGCCTCCGTACAACCTCCCTCTTTTCGCAGCTCTGCTACCGCACGCTATTTCAAGACCTCAACGTTCCCGGATCCAACAAAGACTACCTGGCGGCGACATTCCGGGACGACCTCATGCCACTGAGGTACGGCAATTACAATGCCGTATGCTGCCGTATTCTGCCGTACATGATGCATGCCGTACATGCTCCCATACAGGCCATCGCACTGATTCCGCTAGTTTCAGCCGCAGACGGCTTTTAGTGTATCATCGTACAGAGAGGTTATGCAGTACACACGTGAGGACGCAGGGGAGGGGTTGACGCAAGGTCATGGGGCGTGCTGTGGAGGTGAGAGCGGCGACGTGTGTTATCCTCTTCCTGACAGCTCGCCGCCAGGCACACCCTTTTTTTCTCACCACCCGGGCACTAGCACCCTGCCTCATTCCTCGCTCCTCCTCCTCCTCCTCTTCCCGTACATGACCTCGCCAGGGGCTGGGTCCACCGCAAGATGCCCAAACTGTTGTACATCAACAAGGTGAGACGGGGGGGAGGGGGGGGCTGGTTGGGCCTTACGAGGGGGGAATGGAGGTTTGGCTTGGGGTTTAGCAGGATTACAGCGGGGGCGGTTATTAGCTGGGGAGGGGAGGGGGGGGGGAGGGGAAGGCCCCCTCGCCCCCTCGAGCTCCTCCGTCCCCTCACCTCCAAAGCCCCTTCATCCGCTCAATGCGGTCCGTGCACATTTGCTCGTTCAACGCTCATCTGCAGCCCGACGCTCTGTCTCGCGTATAATCACCAACGGAACGGAACATTCGCCGGTGTCGTCTTCTGTC